ATAGATAGATAGATAGATAGATAGATAGATAGATAGATAGATAGATAGATAGATAGATAGATAGATAGATTTATTTGTGATTTTGGAATAATGCTGTTTCCCCCCCTGGGATATTGAAGGAATGTGAGTGTTGGAAGACAGGTTAAGCTCTTCTAAAGTCTAAAAGAGGAAGATGCTTGCTCCTTGAAGCTAACCGTTGTCTAGACGTGCTTGTGAAAACCGCAGTGTGTGATCTTTGTCCTTGAAGGATCATGTTCCCTTTCTCTGCTTCTTCCAGGGAGGAAGGAAAATAACAGTGATGCTGCAACCCCCAGAGAGAAGCCACTTAGTTTAGTGGCCCACAGAGGAGCATCTTTGCTCCTCCACATGGCTGGGCAAAATGACAGACCATAAGGCTAGCCTTTTGCTACTAAATGGGCACTTCATCAACCTGAATAGCCCCATTTGTCAGTGAGGTCAGGACCTCGATAACCAAAGCCGCAAGGAGAAGGCCGGGCCTGTGCACTCCCTGGGCAGAACAGATAGGTCAACAGCAGCAGTGGCGTCTTTATAGCATCGGCTGAAACCCAGTATGAAGCCGTAGCTAGAGTAGGCTCATGCTAATGAATGGAACTTCCAAGGGAATTGACTTGCCACATCCACGCTGATTCAATGGGCCTCTTCCAGCTGCAACTTGCATCTGGATTTCAGCCGTTATATTGGGGCAACACTCCATGATGATTGCGTTTTAATTCCTCCCAGATGGCCCAGAGACGCCAGTCATCACCATCTCATCATCAGACGGGGATTCTGACACAGGGAGCTTTGTCCTCGTGAACAGTACTGTGAACTTAACCTGCCTGGCACCATCTGAACCCCCAGCAAACATTTACTGGAATGTGGCAGATACTGAAGACTTTTACGTACCCTCCATGCCGGTTCTATACCTCCCTCGAGTCCAACTGAGTCAGGCCGGGATGTATTCCTGCCTGGCCATCAACCAGCATACCCAACAACGGGTTCGGAACACTCGCCATCTTAACGTTGCCCGTGAGTTGACATTGATGTGAGTCTTCCTTTCCCCACTAGGGGGTGCTAATTTCAACATGTGGGAACCAGGCCAGGGAGGCGGGGCACCTGTCCACGTATCTAGCAGTTTCACTGGGAATTATAGTTCATGGACTCCACTGTTAAAGACGTCCAGTGATTCTGGAAGTTTTGCAATTCCCAAAGTGGCCTATATTATAGCATCAATGAAGAATATTTGTTGTTGGGCTAAATGTCATGTTTAGAGATGGGCATGAACTGGAAAACTAGGGCTTCGTGATTGTTTGTGGTTCGTGGCTACCCACAAACTACAAACAATCACCTCCCCAAAACAAAACTTTTTGGGATTTGATTGTTGTTATTTAGTTGTTAAGTCGTGTCGAACTCTTTGTGACCCCATGGACCAGAGCATGCCAGGCCCTCCTGTCTTCCACTGCCTCCCGGAGTTGGGTCAAATTCACGTCGGTCGCTTCGACGACACTGTCCAGCCATCTCGTCCTCTGTTGTCCCCTTCTCCTCTTGCCTTCACACTTTCCCAACATCAGGGTCGTTTCCAGGGAGTCTTCTCTTCTCATGAGATGGCCAAAGTATTGGAGCCTCAGCTTCAGGATCTGTCCTTCCAGTGAATACTCAGGGTTGATTTCCTTCAAAATGGATAGGTTTGTTCTCTTTGCAGTCCAGGGGACTCTCAAGAGTCTCCTCCAGCACCACAATTCAGAAGCATCAATTCTTCGGCAGTCAGCCTTTATTAAATAAGAAAAGGTAATTAAATATATAACAGCATAAAGTAACGTAGCACACATATAGAAATAAGATTAATCATGCCAAATGTAGCAAACTTTAGCTGACCCTTAGAAACATGATAAGGCCTACGCGACCTCCAGACACACATGGGAATGTTCCCCGATGTTACAGTTACAGGGGAGTTGTGAAGAAGCCCATTTACAACAGATCCTCAGTCTTCAGGAAGAGCAACATCAACATAAAGAGAAGGAATACACCTGGGGAGGGCAGGATGTCTGGTCTCCATCTCTTTCTATTCCCTGTCAAGAACCAATAACTCACCGGATCACAGCCCAAACAACAATTAGGGCAATGATCCAAACTGGTTGCAGGTTAGGCAACCTACTCGCTCTCCGGTTTGTGCGCGAGGTGGGGGAGCAACTGCCCACCCGTCTTTCCCTTCCTCTCCCTCTGCGCCCCCCCATGGCTGCCCTACCTTGTCTTGAAGCTGCCTCCACCTCTTTCACCTCTGCCACTGCCATCTTGCGTGTATGCGCCCACCTGGCCGCAGCAGAGGGCTTCCATGGTGCTGGGGCACAAAGATCAGAACTGCATGGTAGTGCAGGAGCAACGGAGAGGAGGCGAGGATTCAAATGAACGGTCCCACCTCCTGTTCATCAAAGGGTTACAGAAGCAGCGACAACAACGCCACCTTCCAACTGCCCAGAGGAAACTGTAGGGTTCATCAGGTTAGGGCATGAACTTCTCTTCCTTATCAAAAAATAAGGAGATAAAGCAAAAATAAATCCCTGTCTCTAGGCTATCTGAATAAGGAGATAAAGCAAAAAATAAATCCCTGTCTCTAGGCTATCTGATTTAGAAGACAACTGGACTGTTCCTCCTTACTCTTCCTGTAGAAAAACCACCTGGGTCTCCTCGCTGCTCTGTGACTTTGGCAGATAACGGCACTGCTTTGCTTTTCAACTGTTCCTGGCCTGGGGGTTTCCCGGCTCCCCGCTTAAGCTTCCAAGGGCTCCCAGGACATGGGGAGGAAGTCAGTGGGTTCAACTTGTCGCGTCGGCTGGCCTCTCCACTCCCAGCAGGACTCAACGGCAGCCTGGTGACCTGTCTGGGAAGTCATTTGACCGCACGGGGCAACTGTAGCATCATTCCAGGTAAGATAAGAAATCTGCCATGGATTTCGCCATGCGGAAGAATTGAAAATAGGACGTTCAAGGGCGCTGATCAGGTCTACAAGGATGATGATAATCACCCAGCTAAGAAATTCAGAGGATCTTCATCCAGGCATGACCTCTCATTCTAAATTGGGTTGTAGGATTGTTATGAAGACAGTGCAGGAGAAATGCCATGGCATTGCCTTGAATTCCTTGAAGTAAGGGGAAGGTACTCATGCTCATGGAAAGTGCTCACCATAACATGCAGAACAAACATTACTAGAAATCCTTGTAGTCACATACCTTTTTGAGACTGTTTGAGATTTATACCAGCTGAATGTGGCTGGCTAATGGTGTGCTAGTGGCAACTAGGTAAAGGTAAAGGTTCCCCTTGACATTTTCAGTCCAGTCGTGTCCGACTCTAGGGGGTGGCGCTCATCCCACTTTTCAAGCCATAGAGCCAGCACCTGTCTGAAGACAGTTTCCGTTGTCACATGGCCAGTGTGACTAGGGAACGCCATTTTACCTTGACACCGAGATGGTACCTATTTATCTGCTCGCATTTACATGCTTTCAAACTGCTAGATTGGTGAGGAGCTGGGACAAAGTGATGGGAGCTCACTCCGTTGTGTGGATTCAATCTTACGACTGCTGGTCTTCTGACCCTGCAGCACAGGCTTCTGCAGTTTAGCCCGCAGTGCCACCACATCCTGGTGGCAACTACAAAGAAGTAATTACTGCAGAATTGAGCTCAGAAAGGGAGGGAAGGAGGAAGCTTACTAATCTACATGTAGATCTAGAAAAGACAAGATGGGATTAAATACTTGGACCTAACTGGCTATCTCTCTGCTGTCTGCTACGATTCAGGTCACTTCTTATAAGCACTGGCTTCTAATAATCTTTCTCCTTACCTCCTGCAACCCCCTGAAAGGATGCAAAATTGTGCTGAGATAATTTGCATTAAAAGATCTACGATCATCAACGTAACTTTCTTTTTCTCCATAGAAGCACCCTCCGGGGTTTCTCTGTCATTCAAGACCTACAGCAACATCAGTGGTCCAGTTACAGTGGAACTACATTGCCAAGGCACTTTTAACCCTGTGGAGATCAACTGGTATCTGGATAACCGGTCATTGGTTCTCATTAGCAGCCTTTCGGAGCTGAGCCCGGACAGGACTCATCTTACCATCCGAAACTTCACTGCCCCACAGGACTTGGGGGATTACAGTGTCATCTGCTCCAATCCATTGGGATCTCAGCGTGCCAACCTCACACTCACTGGTGAGATACTTCCATCCATGAACAACACAGATGGAAGGCCAATCATTTGGGAATTGGCCAATCAGTGGGCGAAGAGGTTGGAAGTCCCTAGTAAATAACCAATTGACTGCTAATTAATTATATGCTCAAGAAAATTGTTTTCTCAAATAAATTTTATTTTCTCAATCAAAAAAGTTACAAATCAGCTTTATTATGATGGCAACTTAGCAAGGGACGGCTTTACTCTTTTTGTGGTGCAACACATGTCCATTTGAAAGGAGGCACATACAGAGGTCCCTTAGGTGAAATTCCTTTTGTTGGTCTCCTCCTTAGTAATTAACATTCCTTCCTTAGCCTAAAAGTAAAGGTGAAGGTTCCCCTTGACAAATGTCCAGTCGTGTCTGACTCTAGGAGGCGGTGCTCATTCCTGTTTCCAAGCCGTAGGTCCAGCGTTTGTCTGTAGACAATCTTCCGTGGTCACGTGGCCAACGCGACTAGACACAGAACACTGTTAACCTTCCCACTGTGGTGGTGCTTATTTATCTACTCGCATTTTTACATGCTTTCGAATTGCTAGGTTTGGCAGGAGCTGGGACAAGTGACGGGAGCTCACTCCGTTGCGTGGATTCGATCTTATGACTGTGGGTCTTCTGACCTCGCAGCATAGAGGCTTTACGGTTTAACCCACAGTGCCACCCATGTCATTAGCCTAGTTAGCCTTAATTGTTTTCCTATAGTACCACAATTTTAAGAAAAGTTGGAATTTTGATCATTTATCGCTGGCCTCACATCTATTTTGGCCCTAAGCTGAGTTCTCTGATGGACTATGTGCCCATTCTTCATTTCTCTGTTGGTAGGTCCTTCCATCTCCAACTGGACTTTGTCCCATGGGCCCCATCCTGGTTCTGTCCATCTGGCTTGGACCATTCCCAACGGATCAGTGGTGACCAGCTTTTGGATCCAGATGCAGAGCCCTAATCAACGCCGTTCTGCTGACGGGTGGAAGACAGTAGAAGTCCTGGAAGCTGTTAATCGATCCGCCACTATTATGGGGCTCCAGTCCCAAACTCTCTATTCCTTCCGAATGGTGCCTTGGCTTGGATCCCAGGCTGGGAATGCTTCTCATGTTCAAATTCTCCAGCCACCAGGTATGTATCTGAATTCTCTCCCTTTTCTCCCATCTGGTCCCTTAAGGAGTTGGATTGGGCTGACCTTAGTGCCCAAACTTGCGCTGAAAAAAAAAATTACTTTCTTTCTTTTAAGGAACTCTTTAAAAAAAAAACATTTTAGAAATCCACTTCCCTGCTTGAACTTTTCGTCTGGATCTTTGTTTGCCTGCTTGCTGCTAATTAACCCTGACTGAATGTTTTTGACTGGGAGGCCAGACCTGAAGGTCCCATTGGAAAAATGTCATCGTGCAGAACTCCAACTCCTAGAAGAAACCAGAACAAAAAATAAAGCATGTTGACCAAAGAGAGTAAAGGTCTTGAAAAGACCACCAAACTAAGCAGGAGAAGACTTACATTGTGTGGATGGTGAGGGAAACGCTGATAAAATCAGTACAGGTACTTTTGAGAGGAAGAAAAAAAATGTTCCATCCTCTTCCTGAGGCACATGGGACGTAGTGGTTTGGATTTCAGGACAGGCCTGGAAATGTATTTAGACAAGGTATAATCTGTTTTTATTCACACATTCACATATGGACAAATGCACAACCTGTTTGCATTTAAGTTTTAAAAAATCCCATAAACATGTAGATGCCCCATTCTGGGCCTAAAAGAACAGAAGAAATGGAGTCCAAAGGATCCGTGAGTATAAAATGTCATATAACAGATCATGTATTCTGTTCACATAAAGAGAAGATGGATCAAGATCCATAGTTTAAGTCAGCTTTCCTTTTTGAGGAAGGGTGGAGTTTTTAAGAATTTTAACACAGTACTAAAAGAATCTTGGAAAAAAAATCAAAGGAGAATTTTTCTCTGAAAATTAACAAAAGCTTCTGTGCCTGGTCACCTGAAAGTGACGGTTGCTCACCATAGGTGACTATATGTTTGTCTGTCGTTGTAAGCCTCATGAATGGGGAAGAGCAGAAGAGCCAGGTAGTATGGGATTGAATGGCCATGAAAGCAGTGAATACATTTTAAATCGCTTAAAATAATTTAATTACTAAGCATTCATGCTGACTGCTTTTTTTTTTTAAAGGCACTTCACCGCTATTTAAAATGGTTCATTCACACTGACTACCTTTTTTTTAAAAGGCACTTCACCGCTATTTAAAATGGTTTACCAGGGTGGTTAAAAATGAAGATCTGTAACATAAAATAGTTTAAAGTAGGACTTCACCAAATGTGAAGTTGTTTTAATTTTGTAGTGAAAAATACTGTTTTTAGAGGACCTGAGATATTTTTCCCCAATTGCCAGAATAAATCAGCTGTTTGCCTTACTCAGTCCCATTTGCTGCTACTATCTCCCTAAGTTGCTTCACACACACACACACACACACACACACACACACACACACACACACACACACACACATCATACTTGGCCTTCTTTTTTTTTTCTGGAATACTTATGTGGTGAGTTCCTTGATATTTAACCCCCCCCCCACACACACACATCATACTTGGCCTTTTTTTTTTCTGGAATACTTATGTGGTGAATACCAATCCATTACGGCCATGTGGTGAACAGAATAAATTTGCCAGTACGATGATGTCAAATTAACCTAATTGATAGGGAGAAGTGCAGAGAACGCTTCCTGGGAATAGACACACGAGCAAACCCAGTGAGTGATGAAGTGTATGATGAATTGAAGAGATGACCTCATGACATCATAGACATTTCTCCATAGGTCCCATATCTCGTTGTGATCTGAAGTGGGGGGAAAGCCAGTTCTGAGTGAGGGCAATGCCTTCTGCTAATGTATGCAAATTTTTTTGGTGGATGTTATGAGAAAATTGCTGAAGGGAACAATTTCTGTGCTTCCTGAAAAGGAAAAGCATCTTGTTTCAGCTCAGTCCTATCACCGGATTACCTTCATCTTTTCAACTCCAAGATCCAAGTTTAGACCAAAAGTGCATTATGGGAACCTACAGTGGTGCCTCGCTAGACAATTACCCTGCATGACAGTTTTTTCGCTAGACATTGACTTTTTGCGATCACTATAGCGATTCGCAAAACAGTGATTCCTATGGGGGAATTTTGCTGGACAATGTTTGGTTCCTGCTTCGCAAAGCAATTTTCCCTAGATGACAATTTTGACATCTCCCTCTGCACTTGCAAAACGGGCGTTTTCGGGACCTAAGCTTTGCAAGACAGCTATTTAAAAAGTTGATGGGTGGTTCGCAAAGCTGCTTTCCTATGGCCAATCTTCGCTAGACAACGACAATTTTTCCCCATTGGAACACATTAAACAGGTTTAAATGCATTCCAACGGGGAAATGCTTTTCGCTAGACAATGATTTTGCTAAACAGCGATTTCAGTGGAACGGATTATCATCGTCTAGCGAGGCACCACTGTATTTGTTATTTCATCTGTATGGTGGTGCTTCTCTTGTCGTGCCTCACTTTCGGCTTAGCTTGGGTTGTAAACTCACGTTGGACTCCTGTGATTTCAGTCCTGACTTCACCCTTCTTTTTCTCACAGGTACAAGCTTGAGCGCAGGCGCCATTGCTGGCATTGTGATTGGTTCAATTTTGGGGATGCTTCTGGTCTTAGTGCTCCTATTTCTCCTCATTTGGCTGACCTGCCATCGGAGAGGTAAGGTGTACTGAGTGAGCTGATCAAAGTGAAGGAGTTGGATTCATCAAGGGTGAGTGTCACCCTTCAGATGCTTTTGGCCTTCAATTCACCCCAGCTCAAAACAGCTTTAAGCAATGGTAGAGAATGACGGAGACTGCCTTCCATGAAACATCTTAGCTACAGTTGTCCCCTAGACAATTTTAAGCCATTTGTATATAGAGAGCAAAAGAATGAAAATATGTTCCTTCTAACCCAGTGTTTCCAAATCTTGGGTCCCCAGATGTCTTGGGACTAAAACTCCCAGAAACCCTCACCATTAGATGTGCCGACCAGGATTTCTGGGCGTCGTAATCCAAGAACATCTGGGGACCCAAAGTTGAGAACCACATTTCTAGACATAGGTATGGGGTTTAGGACGAACACCTCATGGGACGAAAAACCCGCAAGACGAATGGTTTTTGAGATTGCTGTGGTGCCTCGCAAGATGGCTTCTTCTATGGCCGTACTTCACAAGACGAATGTGGGTTTTTTTTGCAAGACCGATGCCTTGCAAGACGAATGAATTATTTTTGTCTTGTGAGGTTCCCATAGGAATGCATTGCAATGCATTCCTATGGCAAACCGCTTTTCGCAAGGTGAAAATTTCGCAAGACAGCGCTACTCGCGGAACGAATTACTGTCGTCTTGCGAGGCACCACTGTATTTACTTTTTCCTGCTGCCATTTCAACCTTTTAAAAACAGAAATGGAGGCCTTATCAAGGCATTCTGAATCATGTTCAGTTCAAACCAGAGGAAGAAAGGATGCTTAGACTCAACCTTTGTCTCAACATCACTTTGCTTGCTTAAAAAGGGATGGATCCGAATGAAATTGCTTCTTCTATCCACTGGCCAGTGGCAGCTGGTGCCCATTGTGGTTGGTGGGGTGGAAGGCGCAGCAGACAATGTTGGGCGAAGCCAGAAGGCGAGTTCTGAAAGCCATACTCCTTTTTGGTTCCTTTTCCATGATAAGATCTCCAAGCACTAAGTGATGGCCAGCTTCCCCCATGAAAAGTCACAGTCACTCCGCCTTCTTGTTTTGCAGCAAGCGACCAGAAAGTTCCACCTGAGAACCAACAGCATTATTTATCACGCCAGGTGAGACTGAATGAAATATGAGTACACTAGGGGTGTGTGGACGTGTGTTGATGAGAAGACAAAACCCATGACAATGTCTGGAGTGATTTAAAAAAGCTACGAAATGAGAGAAACTATAACCTAGAATATTTCTGGCATCCAAGAGTTGATAAAACAAGAAGAACCAAGTCATACAGGAATATACAGTGGGGTCTCTACTTAAGAACGTCTCTACTTAAGAACAATCCAACTTAAGAACAGCTCCATTTGCTAAATTTTGCTTCTACTTGAGAACAGAAATCCAAGGTAAGAACAGGAAAAAAAACCTTTCCTGCTCTTTTTTTAACCTTAAGTCATCTTAGGTTAAAAAAAAGTTCTCCCCCTAGTGGTAGAGTACGTATTAACCAGCTTTGCATTAGTTCCTATGGGAACTAATGCTTCAATGTACCAACGCACCTCTACATAACAAAAAACCAGCCAGAACGGATTAATTGGTTTTCAGTCCATTCCTATGGGAAATTTTGCTTCAACTTAAGAACACCATTCCAAAACGGATTAAGTTCTTAAGTAGAGGTTCCACTGTAGTTTCTATGGACGGAAAAGAGCAGATACGGATTAAATGGTTTTCAATGCATTCCTATGGGAAATGCAGATTCAACATAAGAACTTTTCAACTTGAGAACCACCTTCCAATACAGATTAAGTTCTTAAGTAGAGAACTTAAGTAGAGACCCCACTGTATTGCTTTATTTTGCAGA